GGTGGAGTCCCCCTGGGATTTAACCGAAGAGGGGTGACCTCACTACCTGCCTTGCTATCCTTTACTCCAAAGCTCTGCCATTACCCCCTGGCATCTCTTGGTCCTAAAGGAATTGCTGTTTGTGCCCTTTGCATATCCTTCCCAGAGCCCCCAGGCAGGGATTGGTCTAGTCCCCATTCTGTCTTCCTGCGAGTCTTTCTGATGCAACTTCTTTTGGGGACAGGGCTGGGACACCTGTGGCTGCTGTTTACCGTCTGCCTGATGCTCTTTCCAGGATCTCAGTCGTACCTGCATTGACCAGGCATATTGGGCTGGGAGGGCTCCTGCTTGCACCTAGCTCAGCCCCTAAGCAGAAAGCATCCTAAGCTAAAGGTCACTCATAGGAATAATAATACTAGTAGTTATTATTATACCAAAAAAGACCCAAACCCACTGCTGTTGAGTCAATTCTGACTCATAGTGACCTCATAGGGTTTCCAGGGCTGTAAATCTCTATGAAAGCAGACTGCCACATCTTTCTCCCACAGAGTGGCTGGAGGATTCAAACCATCAACCTTTTGGTTAGCAGCTGAGCACTTTTAACCACTGCACCACCAGATCTCCTTTATTATTATTATAGCCAGCATTTATTGAGCAAAGCATCATGAAAATCACTTTACATGGATTATCCTATTTAATCCTCACAACAGTCCTATGAAATGGATAGTATTATTATCTTATTTTACAGATGAGAGAATAAGAAACCACCAAGCCTTTCACACGCCATAAGTAGAAGACCTGGGATTCAGACTCAGGCAGACTGAGCCCAGAGCCTATACCATGATTCTCTTTGCTGTGCTCACGCCCTTGTGAATGTGGGTGACTCTAAGTGCCTGCAAGTCCCCCATGCTGGAGCTCAGGCCAAGCCCTGCAAGCTCCCAGGAGAGGAAAAACTCTCCTCTGAAATGGTAGAAGAGGAAGAGCATTCCTGTGGAGGAAAGCACGCTAGAGAGAGAAGTGGGGAGCAGGCACCTAGCAGGACAGTCTGTCCGTGGAACTGGGAGATGGCACCTCCCAGCTCCCAAATGGAGATGTGCCCTCCAGTGCTCCTAACTGCACCTCCAAGGATTCGTATCCAAGGACTTGACCCTCCAGGCCAAACTTGCCTAGGGCCATGAAAGACATGGATGTCCTTTGGGGCCAAGAATGAAAAAGAATTGGAGAAGCAGGAGGAGGAAGGGGAGAAAATAGTATCAGGTGGTTGTCCAGAGCAACTGCTTTACTTCATCCTTCTAACCCCTAGTGAAATTCCCATGAGTTGCTGGGTTGTTGTGTGAGGTGCATGGGTGTAATGGATGACCATCAGGGTTCCATGGTCCCAATTCTTAAGTTCCCTGGGATCAGCGCTGGGGACTGGCAAGTGCCCACTGCCTGGGGGGGTGTGGGTAGACACCAAGAGCATGAGTAACTCACAGCATGCACCCTGCCCAGCTCTTTCCCCATGCACCACCAAGCTGCTGTCAGGGAGTAGCGATTTTTCATCCCTTGCTACCTCAGCTATATCTGCACCAGTGCCCTGCGGTCAGAGGCCCTGGGTAACAAAGACAAAAACTCTGCAAGGCCATCCAGTTATCTGCTCCACCCAGCCCCAGCACTGGGGCTCCCTTAGTCCAGAGCCCCTCAAGCCAGGGCCACCTGCAGTACCCAGTGAAACCCCAGAAGCTTCTGCTGCAGTGAATCAGGAGCAGCTACTTCTAGCTTTTCTTGTAGACCAGTCTACATTGCCCTTAGCTAGTTTCTAATCTTTCCCATTGTGATCATGTGCCAAACCTTCCCCCTTCCCCTCAACTCTTGGAAGATGACCTTACCTTCTGCTTTGCTGAGAGATAAAAGCTCCTGTTTGAAGCTTTTGGCCGTGTCAAAATATGCCATATCTGGCCAACTCCTTCCCCTGTGCCCTCCACTCCACTCCCTCCTGGTTCCGCCTTGCTCTCTCAACCATCCACATTCTCTCAGGCAATTCCATTTCCCCCTCTTCACTGGTTCTTCCTCCTCAGCCTACAGACTTATCCAGATCCTTCCTACGCTAAGAAGCCTTCCCTCCACTCAGCTGCTAGTTCCATCCTCTGGCTTCCACACCTTTCTCTCCTTACCTTTCCTGACAGACTTCTGAAGGTAGCAGTCTACTTTTACTGCCTCCCTCTTCTCAGCCCCCATTCACTGCCTAACCTCTCTGTCTGGCCCCTGCTTCAGTCACTTTGCTGAGACCCTCTCTCCAAGGTCACCAATGGTCATCAAAATCCCCAAATCTGTGTTTCTTCTTGTTGCCAATTCTCTTCAATTTTTATGTCACAGTTGGCACTGTGGATTATGATCTCCTCAGAACACTCTTCTCCACTGTCTTACGTGAAACTGCCCTATCCAGCTTCTCCCATTTCCTGTGTGAACAATTCTTCTCTGACTCCTTTGGAAGGTCAGGCTCTTTCCCCCTTTCTCTGAAAGTAGGTGTCCTCCAGCCTCCGCTCCTTAGACATCTCATACTTTTCAACACTCATTTTCTTGACAGTCTCCTAAATTTGTATCTGCTGTGCCAACTGATGCATGGGCATGTCCATCTGGATACTCCCCTGCCAGCTCAAATAGTTGCATGTCTAAGACCAATGTCATCACTTTGCTCCAAAAGCAGCTACCTCCCTGCATCCCTATTCCTGCCAATGCTACATACCACCAACCTTCCAGTTGCACAGAACTGGGTCCTGAGAGCCACGGACACCAGTTAGTAGCCAAATCCTGGCCATTCTGCCTTCACAATCTTGCAAATTTTTCCCTTTCTTTCCAGAGGCCGTTCCTTAATGCCTCATGCCTGTATGTTGTTATACTGGGATCAGATTGTACACGTCCCCTCTAGTTTAGAAATTGTTCATGGCTTGAGACACCCTGAACCCGGTTCTTACATGCTGGTAGAAGTATGGTAAAATAACCAAAAGCAAAAGATTTTGGAGGCTGCATTCTGACTCTGCCCTAACTAGCAGTGTGATCTTGAATAAGCTGTTTACTCTTCTCTGGAGGTTGTTGTGAGAATTAACAAAATTACATGTACATATTATAAATTGTGTATAATATTGGCATATAGTAGATGCTCAATAAATGGAAAATAGCTGTCATAATCATCATCCAAGTTTTCAGCCTTCTTTCCACTGTTTCTGGCTGATTGGTGTAGGCATTGACCCATGAAAACATCATGCACATTCTGGCTTCCATGCGTTTGCTTCTACCCACCCCCAGCACCTGCTTATAATGTCCTTCCCTCTGCTTCTTTGCTCATTTTTAGAATCATATTGTTTTTTTCTGGGGAAAGAGACCTTAGAGGTCCTGTAGTCCAGCCCCTTTATTTTACAGCTGAAGAAGCTGAGGACCAAAGATGTCGAATGTTAAGCCCAAGGCTATGTGGCCTCCTACTAATAGAGTCAGAACTGGGACTCAGGGTCCCTGACCTGCAGCCCTGTCCCCTTTTCACTATCCTAAAACCAGTTACTGTGAGTCAATTCTGCCTCATGGTGACCCCATGTGTGTCATAGTAGAACTGTGCTCCTTAGGGTTTTCAGTGACTAATTTTTTGGAAGCAGATCAGCAGTCCTTTCCTCCAAGGTGCCTCTGGGTGGACTCGAACCTCCAACCATTCAGTTAGTAGCTGAGCGTATTAACTGTTTGCACTACCCAGGGACTCCTTCCATTATCCTACGTGCCTCCAACTTCAGTCCTACTTTGCTTTGAAGATCTACATCAAGTTCTAACTGCTCAGTGGCTTCTTCCCCAATTCCCCCGCCTACATGGTGTTTCCTCCTCTGAATCCTTCTGGCACTTACCGCCCGGCTCCCTCATGGTTACTTAGCTTTTTGAGGGTGTATATCTTCTCTCCCTAACTTAATTTCCAGCACTGTGATGTAGGGGTTTCATCCCTATTGCCTGCAAGTGCTCAGTAAATGCCAGTTAGAGCTGAGCCCGCTGTGGCTTGTGACTCACTTGGCTGGTTGAGGTGAGCATGGCTCACATACCTCTCTGGGAGGAGGAACAAGGCCATGGAAAAATTGCTTCCAAGGGTGCCTTATTTGACCAGTGGGTGGAGGGGGCCACTCCTCAGTGCTGGTCCCAGGGTTGGTCTTTTGGATCACTGGGTCTGGCTCTTCTGAATCACTGAAAAGTAGGCTCACCCTCCGCACTCCGCAACCCCCGCCCCCCACCCCAGATGCTTGATTCCATCTCCACCCTTGGGCCTGTAGAGAGGCACCAGGCTTTTCAACTGGGCCAGTGAAGAGACTGTGCCCCAAGTAAGACCCTCAGGCAGAAAAGGAGGCCAACAGCCAGCCAGCCAGGTGGGGACAGGGCTTGGACTTGCTTGAGGACAATAAGCAGACTCAAGAAGAGATTGTTTGGGTCCTGACATTTGGCAAAGGGACCATGTGCTATGTTGGAATCCTGGGGACAAAAGGGTCACCTATGACCCAGCGCTTCCATGGCTACTTCTTAGCTCAGGGAATGAGGAAATTCCACCCCGTCCTCTGACTCTGGAGGCCTGTGACACATTTCCAATAGGAAAAACTGCTCCAAAACGGTCTCCAGACCAGGAAGTCTTCTTACCAGTGGAAGATATGTGTAGTTGAAGAGGGAAGCATGGACAGCAAGCCACAGCAGTCCCCACCCCCGAGAAAGGGAAAGGATGCTGAGCTCCACTCAGTGTGCAGCCCTGATCCTTGCTAGCAAAAGTCAAGCTGCAGTTGGATGATGCACAGGGCAGAGCAGAGTGCAGATCGCCTCCACCCACAGCTACACTAGATGGGCCTGGTGGAGCCACCAGGAGGGAAAGCCATGCCTGGCAGCTGTCAGTGAGGGCAGGGTTGCAGAGAGCAGACTGATGAGGAAGGAACGAGGGAAGCTTGGGAGAGCCCCTCCCAGGGCTGGGCTCGAGGTGGTCAGACCTGGAGAGGCACGTGATGTGTGATGCTGTTGTGATGCTGTTGCAGGATCATCCGGACCAAAGTTCAGCAGCCTTTCCACCCAACGCCGGATGGGGCTGGAACGGGAGTAACTGCCCCTGGCCACACCATTGGTAAGAGAGCTCAGGGAATGAGGAAGGGGAAGCTGGGCCCACCGAGGGAAACTGAGGAAACCTGGCTCCACCTTCGGGGGCAGCTCGTCTAGTCTGAGGTCCAAGGCTTAGTTGGCCAGTTTCTCAATTCCTGCTCTCCCTGAGCTCCTAGAGGCTCAGGGTTTCCCTGAGAGAGACTAGTCCACCTGGATCGTTCTCTGCCTCCTGTCCACATCACCTCACTTCTGCCTTACCTTCATCAGTCCGTCTCTCTCTCTCTCTGTTAAATCAATATTTGTCTTCCAGAGTTTCTTTTTCTTCTCCTGTCTCTCCTCCTGCTTCTCCTCCATCTTTTGTTTTTATCTGATTCACATCTACTCTTTTATTCCATCTTTCTATTTAAAAAGAAAAAAAAATTATCCGTCTGTCTTCTTTCCTCCCCCACCCCCTCTCCTCTCCTCTCCTCCCCTCTGCCTTTCCTCCTCTATCCTCACCTCTCCCTGTGTGTGTCTCTGGATTTGTGTCTCTTCTCTCCCCCTTTCTCCTCATGGCCTCTGGTTTTGCATGGCCTGTCTCTCGCGATCTCTGTCTCTAACTCACTCACTCTGCAGCTCTCTGCCCCTCACCGTCCTCCTCATTTACTCACCCTTGCTCATGGCCTCTCAGAGATGCAACCGGGCCTCTCAGAACACCTGTGAAGGCCCCGCCCCACCGCCACACACTACTTGGGCTTCCCTTAGGCCCAAGGGTACTTGGTGCTGCTGCAGTTATACTTAAGGCCTGGGGCTTGAGGGGCTGGGATGTGATTAAACTTTCCCTGATGCCCCTCTTGGCAGCTGTTCCCTTCTCTCTTGACCAGCAGGAAGTAGCAATCGCTGGTCCCAGCCCTCCTGGAGTTGGCAGGAGCTGTTGTTTATTAGGTCTGCATAACAGCGTGTGCTGGGAAGGAGGGTGAGGCCAGGCTGTACCTGAGCCGATCACCGCTCAGTGAACAGGTTCACTAGTCTGTGCCCTGAGGGGAAGATTAGGAACTGCTCAGGTGGTTTCAAGACCAGAAGCAACTGAGGGAGAGGAGCTGTGCACCCTGGGGTGTATCAGGACCATTCTGTGTCTTTTGGAGAATCAGAGGCAGATCTTAGAAAACTGCCGACTCTAAATCAGGACTGGTAAAGACTCAGCCCAAGAGACTGAGAAATGATGAGCTGGGGTTTGTTAGAGGGATTTGCTCAGCCATGGGAATTGGGCGAGCTGTGAGGGAGGCAGACTAGGAATCATGCTCTCTAAAGGAGCACGGAACCACTTTCCAGACTGAGTCAGTTTCGGTGTTTCCTGGGCCTGAACTTCAACCATCTTCACTGGAATGAGTTCGGGGACCCGAGTGAAACCTATAGGTCTACTGAGAAGGCCTAGGGTTTACTGGTCTCCTCTCACTCCAGGGCTGGGTAGAATTGAATAGCCCGGACTAAATGTAGCAACATGTTCCCCCTTTAGCCCCAGAGGAAGAAGGGGACTATGGGCCCCCACCCCCTCATTTCCTCTGCTTCTCTGCCCCCAGCCCTGGGGCTCTGGCCTGAGGTCACAACTGCTCTTCTTATGGCATCTTCTCCTTCCTGTCACCCAGTTTCTAGCACGGCCTCCCCTCCTGTCTCCAGCGCCGCCAATGATCCAGTGGGATCCTACTCCATCAATGGGATCCTGGGGATTCCTCGCTCCAATGGTGAGAAGAGGAAACGTGATGAAGGTAGGGAGGAGGGAAGAGGTTTGGCTTCCTTTTTGCATGCTTTGTCCTTGGACTCAGAGCTCCGGTTTCGGCCTGGCCTCGCAGCTGCTCTGCTGTGAGATCAATTTTAGTAGCAAAGCCCAGGTCCCCCCACTGTCCTGCTGGCTCCTGGATAGAGGGAGGGAGGCTACTGGTGGGGCCATCAGCTTCACCATCTGCTCAGCAGCCCCAACTGCCTCACCTTCCACTGGGACTCATGCATTGATCCCAGTGGAATGCCAGGAGGAGGAGCATGGGCCACTTAACCTGGGAAGGTTTTGGAAGTTGGGGGGCAGCTGGTCTCTGACCCGAGGATGAAAGGCCAACTTGTCTTGTCCTCACCTGATCCCAACCCAGCAAGAGGTGGGAAGCGATGTCATCTGCAGCTGACCTGGGGGTCTTTTCTCTGTAACACATGGACACTGCCCCCAGTAAACTACCCAGGGAGTTGGTCCTTTGACTCTTCTTCTCCATGGGAAGAAACAGCACAAGGGCTACTCTTTTGCCTTTCGCCCACCCTGGAACACCTCAAGGGGCAGTGGGGTGTTGGGCTATTAAAGAGAGTAGGGAATGAAGGAGAATGGAGAGGAAGAGCAGAGGAAAAATGAAATAAGGGGATCACTGAAATGAAGAAAGACTACGATTCCAGGTCCTTCCTCCATTGAGAATGGCAAGGATGAGCTTGGGAGAAGGTGTTTCACACACGTTGTGGCATTAGGGGTCCCTTGGTGAGCATTTAGTTCTCTTCTGTTGCATGAGGCCAAGGCTAGGGGAGATCAGCAGAGGTACAATGTCTGCAGCCTGCTTCCTGTCCCAGTTCTCTCAGGGTCCCCCCCTGGGGAAGATGTAATCTGGCCTAGGGAAGGTGCATGAGTTTAAGGGTATCTCCCATGAAATGGACAGAATCCACTAAGGATGAACATGAAGGGGGCGCACTAGCCCAGGACAATCTCAATTTACGCCTATTGTTTCTGCATCTTGGCCAGTCCGCATCTCCTTTTACTCTAAAAAATGTCCTATTTGGACAATAAATGATACAGTCATCCCAAGCATAGACAAGCCCTTGATGAGGGCAGCTTTAGAGGGTAAGGAATAGAAAAAGGATAAAGCTGGGGTTCCCTGGGTCCATGATCTGATGTTCCCTGGGCCCAGGTTATGCGTAAAGAGAGCAAAAAAGCCCTGGACTTCAGCAGAAGGGACGGAGTGGATGAGAGGCCTAGGTCTGGCAAGACAGTGATGACCTGGTGCTGGCCTCCTTCCAGAAGCCCTAATGGCCTCGTTTCACAGGGAAACAGCTTGTCTGGCTCTATTTCTCCTTCTTCCAAAATATCCAAACCCATTTGGCTGCCACGGCCTTTGCCACTCACTAAATTTCATTGTGGTAGTTTTGGCGGCAGCCCCTGATGGGCATGGGGAGGCTGAGTAAAAGCCCTAAGTCCCAATTCCCCCTGAGGCCTGAGCCAAGCCCTCTGGTACTCTGAGTAGTTTAGAAGATTCTGCCTCAAACCATAAAGGGTTTCTCCTTTAAACCACCAGCCGCTTCTTATTTTTGCAGCATGAGGTGTCCAGCAGGCTTGGGGAAGCCACAGAAGCCCCTCTGTAATAACTTTTACTCTTCCCTGTTGGCCTGAGGTTGGGGCCAAGCACACCCTCTGCTCTCTGGGCTCCTCTTATGGGTCATGAAAGGAGACCAGGGATAGGGAGGTCCTGGCTTGAGTCTGTAGCTACCCAGGGCCGGGCCGGTCTGGCCCAGAACACAGTACCCTCCTCTCTGGACAGCTGATCACATTCATTGTTTCTAGTTTATTCAGTTCAATGAACCTTTCCTGCACATCAGTTGCAAAAAAGACCTGATGCTATAGAATCCCAAAGCAGAACAAGATATGATTCTTGTCCTTAAGGAGCTTGTAGTCTAGCGAGGCATGTAAAGCACACTAGCCCAGAGAGCAGAAAGGCCCATCAGATATCTGTGTTGCAATAGAGGTCTGGGCTGTAAGCCATGGGAGTTCAGAGCAGGGAGGGAGAAAACCTCCAGGAAGGGCAGCTGCTTGAGGAGAGGCTTAAAGGATGGATGGGGAGGATGATAAAGACAATGGTAGCATGAAATTCTCATGGACTGAGCCTTGTGACCAGAAGGTGCTGCGGCGAGAAAATGCAGGGAGCTTTGGCTTTGATGAAGGGCAAGGGTAAGTAGTAGTAAGAGGTAAGGCTAGGGAGATGGGTTAGGGTCACAGGATATCAGGCCAAGACTGGATCATATGAGGAGTTTGGACTTTTTTCCGAAGGTGGGAGTAACTGCTGAAGGCATCAGCAGGAAGGGACAGGAGGAGGGCTGAGTTGGGTGAAGCTCACCCTCCAGCAGTGTGACTAACAAGGGCAGAAGCAGGGAGACATATCAGAAAGCAGTTGATGTCTTCTAGGTGAGGGATAATGGGGGCTTCCAAGTTACCTCTTACTGCTGAAACACTACCTCCTAGACCTTGCTAGGTTCTATTTTTTGGTGGAAGGGAGTTCTTTTGCCCTGATTTCCCCTTCCTCTTGACCTGACTCCTGCCTTTTCTTGACAAACCTCAGGCCAGATTGAGCCGTTCCTTCCCTGGTAGAGGCCAGAGCCCAAGAGGGAGGCTAGCTCTCCCTGACACCCGACTTGATCCATTGGACCCAGGTGGGAAAGGAGAGGAGAGAAGAGTGAAGCCCTTTCACAGCCCTTCCTCCCCCTCCCCCACCCTGGGTGCCTCCAAGCAGCCAGGTCCCAGTTTGCGTTAGGGAGCAGCTCAGATGATTAAGAATAGGGGAGATAATTATGTGTCAAGATGATGTAGCCCAACTCTGCAGTCAGACCAAGGTAGCAAAGCAGCTGGTAGGCTGGTTGCAGGGGGCTGCCACAGGCAGAAGTTGCGTAGACACCCAGGTGTGTCCTTCAGCTACTTGGCCTGGACTGCAGGCAAAAGAGAAAACTGACTTGGGAACTGAGGGATGTTGGGGCAGGGATGGGGATACATGTCAAGGGACTAGACCCTAGAGGGAGTAGAGGGGCTCATCTCCCTCCAGAATGACCCTTGATGCTCCTGCCAGGCTGGGCCTCCTTTGGCCCCAGGTGCTGGGCCTCTCACTAGAAGTGTCATGCCTCGAGGGCAAGCTGTGAACTTCTGTCCTCAAGGAAGCCGCTCCCAAGCCTTGGGTACAGTTCGACCTATTCTTCGGCTCTAACAATGTCACGGTGGTGGGCATTAGTGAGGACAATCACTGCAGTGTGTGCTGGCATTATTGGAGACAGTCTCAGCAGGAGTTATTGGTGTTCACAGTGATAATATCCAGAGTATTATTGGCATTGGCACCCGGAATATGGACAGTGTTATTAGTATCTGCAGTAATCATAGCTGTGGCAATATTAGTAAAGGGCCGATCAGCTGTGGCTCTAGGGAAAAAGGAGACTGAGAGTGACGGTGAACCTGCTTGAGACTCCTTCTCATTCTTTGGCCTTTTGAAGTATGGAAAAATCTCATAGACTTTCCTTTGAGGAATGTGCTGGTCAAGAAGCTTTCACCCTCCTCTCAGGAGTCTAGAAGTTCCCAGAATGAGTTAGGGATAGATGAGGAAGTTATGTCAAGAAGCATCCAAACGACAGGCTGTCTGTCAGTCAGAGAGGGTAGAATCCATATTCAGCACCCGCCAAAATGTCCACTGCTTCTTAGCTACAATTATGGGTGGGTATATTGGGGCTAAAGGAGCTCTGATGGCGCTCTGGTTAAGCACTCGTCTGCTCACTGAAAGATCAGCAGCTCGAAATCACCAGCCACTCTGCAGGAGAAAGATGTGGCAGTCTGATTCCATAAAGATTTACAGCCTTGGAAACCCTATGGGGCAGTTCTACCCTGTCCTATAGGGTCGCTATGAGTTAGAATATACTGGAAGGCAGTGGGTTTTGGTGGGTTATATTGAGGGTGGATTCCCTGGATCCTTTATAGGGACACTGATTCCCTGAATGTTGCATGCCCTGGCTTACACAGCTGGAGGATAGAGACTCTTGTCTCCCTGTCTACAATCAGGCTTAAAATCTGAAATCCTTTGCCTTCATTCAGTTGCTTTCCACTGGAGCCCAAAGCACTGCTATCCACTGGTGGTGTTGCTGAAATGCAGAGCAGTTGCATAACTTGTCCAAAAATCCAAATGGAGTCATATGGTGTGAGTCTGTTGGTCTGTGTGAGGTGAGGTGTGCTGGTCTCCTCCTTTGCTGTGTGGGATTGCATGGGGCTGTGGTTTTGCCTTCCATTAATTAGGTGCACAGTGAATTGTGCAGTTGAATGGTGCCAAGCCAGTGCAGTTGTGCGTTTGCAGCAGGGCAGGCTGCACGGATGCAAATGGCTGAGGCCTGTCACTGCCTTTAGTAGCTCCTTTCTGCTTGGGATGAAGCCATAACTGGAAGAAACGGTTTATTTCCTCAGTTAGTTTCCCTCTGAGAAGTCCCCAAGGGTGGTGCTCGGGTTAGACTTGGAGCCAATAAGGGGATTCAGCTGTGGAAATGAGCAGCACCTGCCCTGTCTAGGAGCCCTGGCCTCAGGCCCAAGGAGGCTGCACAGACTTCATCAGGAAGGGCAGCGAGGACCAAGGCCAGCTACGCAGACCCTGGAGCCCAGCATTGATGGGGAGAGTGGCTTAGTGGGGAAAAGTGTGGACTCTGGAGTACAGCTAGGTTTGAATCCTAATCCAGCTTACTGGTGGTATAACCTTGACCAAGTCAACCTCTGTCAGCTCAGTTATGTCCTCTGTAAAATGGAGATGTAACAGCACTTGCTTCCTGGGGACCATGGAAAGGATTAAATGAGACATGGATATAAATTGTTGACTAGCTAACTCCATCTTGGAAGATGGGTCTTTTTGTATCTGGGGAAGAAGGCCTAATTGGCAGGGTTATGTTTCTAGGGGAGGTGGAGTTATGTCAGAGAGAAACTTATCTGGGCACAAGCTCCCTAACCTTGGTG